CCAATCCCCTAATATTTTCATCCTGCTTATATATATGGGAGTCTTTAAATTATGAGGTGACGTCTGGTTTTTGTACCAGTATAGCAATAAACAATTTTGCAGTGAATCAGTTCACAGGGCCAGGTTAATGCACTTTACCATAAGCCCTGTGACTACTTACTGCCTACACAGAAACTAATTATTATTATTTTTTTCAAAAAGCCTTGAAGCAGGTATTTGGTGCCATCATGTGGGTCATTTCAGAAAATGCAACCTTATATAAAAAGACAATAAAATTGTCATGAAATGCCAGTTTGAACTTCTACAATAAGCAGATCTAACATGAACTGACAAAATGATTGGTTAGATATTAGTGGCATGAATATTTTCACTGGAAGTAAAAATCCATTCTATTGTTCTGAAGTTGTTTGGAGAACAATTTGCCTCCAGAAGTTGTGGTTTCTCCAACACTGGAAGTTTTTAAGAAGAAATTGGACAACCACTTGTCTGAAATGGTGTAGGGTTTCCTGCCTGAGCAGGGAGTTGGTCTAGAAGACTTCCAATGTCCCTTCCAACTCTATTATTCTGTTCTGTTCTGTTCTGTTGTTCTGTTGCAAATTTCTAGTTCCTGAGTTTAAAATGCTGGGTCCTATATTCTCCTTGGATTATTCAATATCTTTTCTTCAATCTTTGGAGCTTCAAAAGACCTACTACTTTTCTGCAAATAGAAGGAAGTTTTGCAGGGATCAACTACAAAAGCTGCTGTCTTTCCATTATTCTGTTACTAATCAACAGAGTTGTGAGCAATCCATAGTACATATTAACCTTTGGCCATATAGATCTATTTATGCAAATCAGCTGCTCACTGAAACATGGATCAGTTGATCGATGCTAGATGTATGTATGATGGCATATATAGGGTATGCAAATACATTTCTTCTAACCTGCCAACTGATACACCTGGGTTGCATCCCACCTGGGATGGTTTGCAAAAACAGTTCCTCTATTATAGAACTATTCAGTGAGAAATTAAGAAGTACCAAAAAACAAATTTCAATTACAGGTGATTTTTAGAAGTAAAAAGAGTTGAACCTGCTACAATAAAGCAAGATGACTGATAGTCTTACTGCACATCATTCTTTGCCCAGAATAGATAGTCTATCCACTAATGCAGGATTTTTTAAACTCATGCTGACTGAGGAATTCTAGTTGAAATTCACACAACTTAAAAGTTGCAAAATTAAGGTTATAATGCCTCACCTTTAGCAACTTCAGGAAACTCTCTTAGCCACCTATTATTTTGTTATAGATAGGATATTCCAGAAACTTAATAATTAATTCTGAAGTAAAATAAGTTAAAATCCTATTCACCAAAAATCTAGAACATAACTCCCAACCAGAAGCTGTTGAACATCTCATCTACCTATAGTGATAGATTTGAGAAAGATACATTCAGTTCTTAATCAATCCCATTGCTCCATGCCTCATGGCATACGTTTACCTGATTCCCAGCAAGTTGCCTCTAGCACTTGATTCCAATTAATAGATTAATAGAAGGAACTCCTTCAATTGCTTAAGAACAGTGCTGAGATAATTTTTTTCTTGTTCTAGAACCCTCAGTTAGGAAACCATCACATATGTGGAAAAAAATTCCAGCATCTGTTACTTTAAATGTAAAGATAATGATTTTTGAGAAACAAGAAGAAATGGTACGAACGAGAAAATTATATAATTTATCTGTTTCTTTTTTTTCAGTAGATTTCTGCAGATAAAATAATTTGTGGGTTTCTCATCTTTAAATCTATTTTAATTATGTTTCATGATATACATCTTTATTGCTTTCTGTTGTATTTTAATATCTGATAGTACAAAATATTTGGAGCACACTAGATTGGGAAGGCTGAAATCTCCAACAGGATAAAGTTTACAGCAACAGTACAACAGAATTTGTTTTCTATTGATTTCCCTTTTCCCTTTTCTGAACTAATATACTACTTTACCTGGTTACTATAGAAAGTTACTTTGAGCATAGGGGAAAGAGTTCTGTTACTGAAGTTATAGGTTAAGTATATCTAAATTCAGTCCAATTCATTACACAGTATACTATAAGGAAACTATGGTAATCTTAAATCTGGAATTATGTATATTTCAGGAGCAAAACAATATATCCTGAAACTTGAGTTTAAGGGCTGACCAGTACAGACTGGATACAAGCTGCCAGTTTTGGGGGCGGGGAGAAAGGAAGTACAAAAAAAAGATCCACCAAACCAACATAATGATGGGTACTAGTACTGACAATATAACTTTTTAATGAAGCCAAAATATCAAGAAGATTTCAATTATTTATCTAAATAAAAAGCTGTAATGAAACTGGGAAGCTGTTAATTAACTATATTTTCCCAATTCCTTTAGAAACTAAAACCTTAGTTATAAACTTTCGAATAAGCAAAATATTACCTCACATCATAGACCCAAAGCATATAACCTTAGTTTCCTGGTTTAGACAAAAGAAACTTGGGGGTAATTGAAGATTTCCTAGTTTAGTTCAATTCACATCAAAAGAAAGAGAGAATAGGCTGATATTCTGTCCAAAGGTTTGTATATCTTGGCTTAATAAGACATCCCTATACCATCAAGATCAAAGGGGACGGGACACCAATAATATTTTGCAATCCTATAAATATTTCCAGGTCAGATTCACTGATTAATCTAAGTAGCTCTCTTTGGGAGAACTGCTTCTTGATTAATTCTATCTTACAGCTCTTCATGTTACATAACTTTAAACATGATTTCTGCAATATGAAGAGCTGTAAAATGTGTATCTTTTTTTAAAAAAATAATATTTATTGAAATTCCAACATTTAAAAACACAATACAAAAATACAACACAGAAAGAAAAAAAAGAAAAAACATAGAAAAACAACATAACAAAAATTTGCCACTAATAACAGCTTTTCTATATCAGTTTCTCTATCATAACGTACAAATTGGATGTGTATCTTATAGTCTCCAGTCTACTTTCAAACAGCTGTTAGGCTAAATTTCAAAAGTTCTTTCAAAAAGCCAGTCTCAGCCTCTAGTAAGAAATATCTGTAATTTCCTTCTGTTTGGGAGACAAACAAAAGAAGAGATTTCAGAGAGGGGATATTTATTTCTCCATCTACTTTCAACCCTAGCGTCAACCATATACAATTTTCAACAAAGTGTCTGTGTGGTGAAGTGGCCCTCAGCAAATAAAGGTTTTCCTCCCTTGATGTAAAATAAAATTAGATCATTTGAAACCCTAGGACATTGTGTGGTCCAAAAAAAGGATTTCCAACCACTGAATCCCACAATTGCTAAAAAAACAAAAAAAACAAAACAAAACAAAAAAAAACCAACAGTTTCCCATCAATTTAAAATAATGAAGCTGCAATATAAGCCTTAAAGTTGGCATGTAGTCCTTGAGTTACAACCGGTCATTTAATGACTGTTCAAAGTTACTACAGTCTTCAGAAAGGCTATTTCATGGCCCCGTGAAGGAGTTACAGGTGATGTAAAAGGTCATGGCTCCCCATCACCCCAGTCACAGTAATCATGATCTGGATGCTTGGCGACCTTTTTACACTTACTGCCAGTTGCCAAGTGCCCCGTAATCATGTGATTGAGATTTGCACTCTTTTCTCTGGCTTCCTCAGAAAATCAATGACTGTGACTGACTGAAAGACCTGCCTGCCAAGGGGAGGGGAGAGGGCTGAATTCCTTTGGCAGGGTGGAGAAAACAGAGCTCAGATCCCAAAAATCCAAGCTCCATTTTTTCAGCCCATTTGAAGAAGTAGTCGAGAATGGAATAAATGTATGTAAATCTGCATATCCATTTAAAATAGTACAATTATACAATAAAGAAGAGAGCCAACCTTTTCGGTTAGGTTGAGCCCTGGTTTCTCTCCATAATCCAGCCATTTGCCAAGGCATTTCATTATCATAGAACCAAAGGGTCATTGTGAATAACAGCAATTGTACAAACATCTAACCCCCAATGATTTCTCCATTCCGGTATTAATCAGGGTTTCAAAAGAATCATCTGTAAATTCCACAAAGAATGCAATAATCCTTTAAGATCTCTACCTCTTCAGACATCCAGAGCCAAACCCTATTTAATAATTACTTGTTTATGGCAATCGACTTTTGTCAACCCTTGTCCTAATTAGAAAGATAAAGGTAAAGGTTTCTTTCCCCTGTCCAATCTTGTCCGACTGTAGAGGGTGTACTCATCTCCATTTCTTAGCCAAGGCAGCCAGCCAACATGACTATATGCCAAGCCACGGAGAATGCTGTTACCTTCCCACCCAAGTGGTACCTGTTTATATACTTACATTTACATGCTTTTGAACAGCTTTGAAGAAGCTGGAGCAAGTAATGGAAGCTTACCCTGTCACATGGCACTTGGGTCTTGAACCCAAACTGTCAGCTTTCTACTATCAAACTCAGCATCTTTAACCCCTGGGCTATTGTGCCTCCTCGTCCTAATTATTAAAAAACAAAGCAAATGAAGCTGGTGCCCTGCAACATATATTATTTATGGAACAAGCAAAAAGCGTTTGACATTGTTTTAATTTAAGATTACCAGAAAGATTGCACAGTAAGATAGATAAAGTCCAAATTTTATTTGGATAAAGGGCCACATTTAAACTTAAGTAAAATATAAAAAGATGTAGTATAAGTTCAAATAGCCAAAATAAATAAGGTGGTAAGCTCAGGAGAAAAACTACATCATCTGATTTCTTTTAAATTTCCTTAAAATTATTTTAATTATTAAATACAGTAGCATGTTTATTTGCTGAGTACTTAACAATTTTCTACTGATGTCGTATTAAGCATTTCAATTCAACATCAACTTTTTAAGGATCTCGGGAGTATCTGGGAGAATTGCATGTGGCCTTTGGGGTGCAAATGACGAAGGTTCGACACACTGTATCTGACACTAATCCAAAGCACCAAAATTAAAGCAAGGTAACTCCAAGTATAGAAAAATCACTTGCCTCCCACTCCTGTAGGAAGTGCCGGGCCTCCTGAAGACTGATGGATTTGTGTCGTCTGAATTCATCTTTCACATATTGATCTCCCAGGGCTTTCAGTTCCAGTGGCAACACACGATGAAGCTGAAGGATCTTTTTGTACAGCGTCCTTACTTGGGACACATGATGGAGTATACTGCCTGGCATAATGTTCAAGAACTGGACTATCTGCTGTTGCTGCTTGCTTCAGTATTTGTTCTAGAGAAGCAATTTAAAAATAAGTAAGTCAGACAGATACCCTTATGTAGCCACTTAATTAAATGCTACTACAATGCTTGCAATGGGTGTAAAATAGATGAAGTAGGGGATGGGTGGTATGCGTGGGACTTTGATGATGCTTTCCACACACAAAATCTCTGTAATCTGTGCAGATAAAAAGAAAGGAATATTCAGAAAAACAGTACCACATTCAGCCTCAGAAAATGTTGAGTTCAGCCTCCCCAGTTGAAAAATTACCACTAAACTGTAATTCTTCAAGTGATGGGAAGAGAAAACCAGTATACACATATGTAATAATCAAATTGTCACCATCTATTCACCTACAAATAATAAGGAAAAGAAATTAAAAACATACTAAAAAAAGGGAAGATGGTTAATATTAACACCATACACTTTACCATGTTCATACTATTTTCTCTTTCAGATGTATATGCCTCATTGCATCAAACATTTGTTGCAAATCTACCCAATACATGGACTGCATATAAAAATATACATACATACATACATATAATGAACACTCTCCTAACTTCATCACAAATATTCTTCATATTTTTTTATCCATAAATATCTTAAATAATGGAACATTATGTTTTATTCTTCTAGTCCCTGTTGAACAATTTACTTAGCATTTCATTTGTTCACATCCATGCTTTACTTTCATCATATATTACCATTACTACTTAGAAACTATCATATTGTATTTCATACTCATACAAAACATTCACTCACTCAAATCTATGCACTTTATCATATGCATTTTCTAAATCAGCAGTCCCCAACCTTTCTAGCTCCATGGATTGGCAGAAGTGGCGGTAGGAGGGGATGGTTTCACATGCAACTTAAATCCTGTGCATGTGCTAATGAAGTTTCATGTACAGTCCCGCAGTTTGAATGGCCCAATTCCCAAGGGGCTGTAAACCGATACAGAACCACAGCCCAGGAGTTCGGGACCCTGCTTTATATCACCAAACTTTTCTTCTCACATTCTTATATTTTCATATTTTCTGCTAAGACAAAACTCTAGTCTGTAAACTCCCTGCCTGGCATAAATTTGCACCACACTTCTCAAATTTTGATCAATGTCAACACAGAGGCAGCCTCCTAAATATGACACATTGATCTAAAATGCAGCATTGGAAAGATACAGAAATGCTTTCCAAACTGAAGTCTTCTAGATGTGTCAGAATTTTGTTGGGAATTTTCATCCACCATGATGGAAGATCTACATAAGAAATGAAGACATATGTCTTTTGTGCTGCGATAACACAAGCTTAAGAATTCAATCATTTCTGTACAGTTTTAGGAACATTCGAAATGCCCAAATTTGAATACTGGAGCACCAGAGAAGTAGGGTGAAGCATCAGCTAAGTTACTACCGATAGCTGTTGCTCAGTAAATTGGCCAATCTCATTCAGTTCAGGTGAATATGCTTTTGTGCATCATGGTTAATGTTCCATTAACATTTTGAATGTTTACAGCTATCATTTTCAAGTGAGAGAGTAGCCTGGATTGTTATAGGTGCTATTATATTACTGATGTTTAAAACAACTAAGTTTTGGTGTGAACTGCTTATTTATGTCATAATACAACATGTAAAATAGTATAGCATAGTATTTAGCGATGCAGAAGATTATGCATTCAATACCACTATTAAGCTCTATTCATGAGGCTCAAGTCTGAGGTAGAGAATGATTAAAGGAGTCCTAAATGTTAAGCATTTCACTGCTCAACCATGACAACAAACTGCGAAGAGGAGGAGGAGGGGGGGGGGAGGAGGAGGAGGAGGAATATATTGCTGAACATATAAGATCTGACATTAACATTATCCAGAGCAGCCATAGAATTGTATGCAATAATTTTCTGGAATGATTAAAAAATGTGTTTTGCATTAGGAGCACATATACTACTTTCATTATTGTTCATATTAGAATAGCTTAGTACAATGGTTCTCAAATTATAAACTGCAACACTCCCATGGTAACATAGACATTTTTTATTTGCTTGGTTTCTATTTTTCTCCTCTCTTTTCTTTTTATTATTAACTAAGGATTTATTTATTAAATTTATTTGCCACCCATTTCACTGTGAGGCTACTCTGGGAAGCTTATAACAATAAGATGCGAGAGGCGGGTTTGATAAAAAATGTAGATATTACAATAGCAAAGGAATACAGAAATTAAAATTTAACAATGGAAATGTAGTAATATGAAATTTTTAAAAAAGTTTGTTTATTTTGGTATTTTGTCTATATTTTCTATTCTTCTAAAATAAAGAATTAAAAAATAATTTCTGCAGTTCAACTTAAAAGTGGGCTAACAAAGGAAACTTCCAGATCAGATCTACACTCCACAGGATGGAATTCTTATGAAAGTGTTTTGACCTCATAGGTCAAACATCTTTGTTCTCCAATTTCTTCCAGCCTTTTTATCAGTTAAAAAAAAGACAGAACTTGGGAGTACTAAGAGCTATTCATCTAGAAACATTCCTTTATACGTTGAAGTTCAGGTAGTCCAGGGGTGGGTGTAAAATTTTTTACTACCGGTTCTGTGGGCATGGCTTATTTTGTGGGCATGGTTTGATGGTCATGTGACAAACAATTCTTTAAGATTTAGCAGAGGTACTGGTCTGGCTTTTAACTGCTTGCAGAGCCATACCGGTTTACCCATTAGTTTTTGGAGCGTTCTGGTCTACTTATTTGTTTTTGGAGTGCACAGGTCTACCACCACACTGCCTTTTACTGCTGATCAGCTGTAGGGCGATCCTTTGAAGCGCCACTGCAAGAGTTTAAACAGTTTTTTGCCGCTCTGCCACCACCGAGAGCATCGGAAACCGTTTTCAGGCAGCTTGGCCTCAATTGCCAATCTATCACCACCGAGCAGTTTACAAGGAGAGGATCGGTTCTAGCCGATCAGTTGGGAGGCTTCTTGGCTTCTCAATTTAAAGCTGTCTTGTTTTTTTTTCTTCTTCTTTGTCAAGTGAGCCCTGATTTTTTCCTTCTAGCCAATCAGCTGGCTAGATTGCGGGGCCAGGCAGAGGTGGTATTTACCGGTTCTCTGAACTACTCAAAATTTCCACTACCAGTTCACAAGAACTGGGGAGAACCAGTAGCAACGCATCACTGAGGTAATCCTCCACTTATGACCACAATTGAGCCCAAAATTTCTGTTGCTAAGTAAGACAGTTGTTAATGGAGGTTTGCCTTTATAACCTTTTTGCACTGTTGTTAAGTGAATCGCTGCAGTGGTTAAGTGAATTATGAAGTCATTAAGCAAATGAATACTGGCTTTCCCTATTGACTTGTCAGAAGCTGGCTGGGAAGACTACAAATGGTGATCACATTATCCCGGAAGAGTGCAACTGTCATAAATACATACCAATTGACAAGTGTGATCACATAAACATGAGGATGCTGCAATGGTCATAAGGGTGAAAACCAGTAATAAGTCACTTTTTTCAGTGCTGTTGTAACTTTGAATGGTCACTAAACGAATGGTTGTTAAATCAAGGATTACCTGTTAGCTGTGATTTTTAGATCTTGAATAAACTGGCTGAGAGCATACAACATCCTGATCATCATTCCCAATGGCTGCGTTTATTCCTACAGTAACCAAGGAAACCACATTATGACTTCATGAGTAATATAACTCAGGCCAATAATGAAGTATTTGGCATCTGCCTGCAAGTTGCATTGATCTCATTGATATTCGTATCTAAACTGAAATGAGAAATCTCACTGTGTAAGGAGGCCAGAGTTTCATAGCCCTTTCTCTCTCACAAAACACATACACACATATACAGATAGATACACATCCATTCATCCCATCCATCCATCCATTCACACATATGTATAAATATTGTTGGAGAAGATTCCTGAGAGTACCCCACACAGCCAAAAAAACGAACATGGGTCATAGAACAAATCAATCAGAATTCTCATCCAAAGAGCAAATGCCCAGAAACAGGCTTTTTACTATTTACAAAAAATAGGAAGACCCAGCTCTTTGGAAAAGACTCCAATGCTGTGAAAAGTAGAAACAGAGGAAGAGAATGATCAGCAGCAAGGTGGATAGATTCAATTACAATGGTGACGGATGCACCATTGGGAGGCTTGAAAGAACAGGTTAGGGACACATCAGCATGGAGAAAATCTATATGGTCACTAGGATTATAAAACTACTTGGTGGCACATAATCACATATAGACACAGAAAACATACACGCCTGCACACACACACACAGAGACTACCTACGTATCCCTAACACTAACCCTATCTATCTGTGTCTGTGTCTGTCTATGTCTGTCTATATCTATCTATCTATCTATCTATCTATCTATCTATCTATCTATCTATCTAATCAATCGACATAGATATCTGTCTATATTTATCTATTGATCAAGCGATCTGTCTATATCTAATTGATCAATCAACAGATATCTGTCTATATCTATCAATCAATCTGTCTATCTAATCGATCAATCGACTGACAGATATATGTTTATATCTATCTATCTATCTATCTATTTGATTGACCGACATAGATATGTCTATATCTATCTATCCATCAGTCTGTCTATATCTATCTAATTGATCAATCAATCAACATAGATATCTGTCTATATCTATCTATCAATCGATCTATGTCTGTCTATATCTATCTATCTAATCGATTGATCGACAGACAGATATCTGTCTGTATCGATCAATCGATCAATGTCTATATCTATCTAATCTATCTATCTATTTAATCAATCGACATAGATATCTGTTTATATCTATCGATCAATCGATCTATGTCTATATCTATCTATGTAATCGATCTTGATCGACATAGATATTTATCAATCAATCGATCTATGTCTGTCTATATCGATCGATCGATTTATCGATCTATGTCTGTCTGTCTGTCTATGTCTACCTACCTACCTACCCGCCTATCTGCCTATCACCTCGCCACTGCAGAATGAGTGTCCCCAAGGCATCATCGGCCCATCAAACTCTGCCCGGCGAGGTTCACTGCTCGTTGCCCAGGCGACAAGGGGGGGGGTGTTTTCTACAGATCGAGAGCCGCGCTTGCTCGGCTACCTGACGTTGCGACCGAGAAGATGACATGCGACTCCCCGAGGGTTCTTTAGTCTCCGCCCGGCTGAAGGAGGGGGGCGGGGGCTGCCTAGAATGGAGGAGACGGTGGCCGCCAGGCGACAAAGCGCGGAACGCTGGACATCGGCGGGTTTAGCCCAGAGCACCGGAAGGCCGCGCCGCGCTCCGCCCTAGGCTGGTCTCTCCTTCCTTTGGGGCTCGCTGCTTGGGAAAACCTAAGTAGATGGAAAAAGCTTTTTCTCCGGTTTAGCGGCTCGTCCCCGCGAAAAAACTAAGGTTGCCGAGAAAATAAGCTGCGGAGGGGAAACTCCCGTTCCGTTATTCCAGAGGTCTTCAAACTTGCCAGCTTTAAGACTTGTGGACTTCAACTCCCAGAATTCTCCAGCATAGCATAGCTGGCTGGAGAATTCTGGGAGTTGAAGTCCACAAGTCTTAAAGCTGGCAAGTTTGAAGACCTCTGCCTTATTCGTACAAGGGTCTGCCTACTGTCTCTTGGCTGGGATCCACGATAACTGCTGTCCCTTCAAGGTCTTTCGGAAACCTACACCGCGTGGGCATGACACGCACTCTTACACGCGAGGTTCACAGCTCAGACCTGTAGCCTCTGTTAAGCTCTCAGAACAGATGGCAACGCCGTGAAAAAGTTGAACTCCATGTTAAAGGCAGCGGGACACGCTCGACGTTGATTGTTTGGAGGAGCATCTCTGCGCCTGCATCCCGACCCTCGCGTGGTGGGACAGGACCTGTGACCCAAGAGCCAGGCCCCTCAGAGAAGGAGAGGAGCAAATACTCCCCTAGAAGCTCACCTAGAAGCTGGTGGGGCAAACGGGTGGGATGTCAATAAGAGGCTGATCAAGAAAGGCTGCCAAATCCTTGTCACAATACAAGGCTTTCTTCTAAAAGCATTTTATAATCTGGGCCATCTAATGTTCATGTTTTAGTTTTGACTTTTGATTATTCTTGCCTGCAACAAAATTGTGCTTATTCACCTGTCAAAATTATGGCTAGAAAGGCATGAAAGCCCTCCAGTCCGGTATCTAAAATTACTTGATCCCATCATTTCATAAATGGTATTCTCTGCCTTTCCTTCCCTCCTTTGAAAAAGTGTCATCTTTTTACAGCCTTTGAATTCTTGGTGTTTCCTGTCACTCCAGCACTGAAGAATTCTCCTCTGAATTGAATTGAAAGTGTGGGAGGAAAAGGAGAAAAAGGACTTTTATCTGTTTTGCTCAGATTGATTGACTGCCCAATGAACTGGAAAAAAGATAAAAATCAAATTAGAGATGGGATATGTTTGGAAAAATGGAAGCAGGCGAATAAGTAGGATATACTGTATAGGCTTAATACTGATGAAATAAAATATTGGAAATGCATTATATGCCATGTTATATATGGTTTGCTTTATACCACTGACTCTTAACATTATTTTATTTAATTATAAGCTGGCTATTTAGATAATGTCTGGCACTAAGGTTGGTATGTTTAGTGCAAATACAGTCTTTTGTGTGCCACCAAAGGATAAGTATTAAAGGCTGTAACTTAACATTGCCTTTTCAGTGGGTTAGGTTCCTCTCTTGATGCAAATATCTATTTGAGTCATAGGAATGAAATGCCAACTCCAATTATTCAAATGTTTTAGAATATTAGAATCTTGAATACTTTGGACTATCAGAGTAGATTCATACAGATCTTTTCCATTTTTGAAACCTTGATGGTTATATGGATAGTTGGTTGGTTGTTTTTTTTTCCTTAGCTATATTTAATTCATATAAGTTATATTTCATTTGATCACTGACTGGAATTAATATTATCTGGTCTATCTACGTCCCATTAGTATTAAGCCTGAAATACATCAGTTTATGGCAAAAGTGGATTATACAGTGCAGCCACTTGGGGGCAGGAGAATACCTTTTCCCAGCTTTGTCAAACCTAAACAAAGAACAGTTTTAGAGCCATTCTACTGTTTTTAAGAGTACTTGGTTTTATGAAGCAATTATATCACTTGCTCTCTGTTTCCTCTTCTACAGCTGCTACAAAACATCTATACCGTACATGAAAATTCAGAATTTACTGTACTCCCAAGATGAAGAACAGTGCTTCTGTTAGGATGTTAGGGAACATTACAGAATGCTGGTACTGCATTTCCATACAGCTGATACTTTTGTATTTACGTTTTGTTTATGTACTTTTTGGGATAGGTGGAAAGCTGGACCTGACCTATTTTTGATCACCACATTGCTGCTGTAGAGCTTGGTTTCTGGTCACCTCCCATATATAGCCCTGACTTGACCTCTGTGGCTTTAAATACATTTTGAGTCATTTCTTTAATAGTGCAACTCACACATATTTTGAGAGTCAGCAAGCTTGAGTATAATGCTGAAAATCAGATGACTGAAATAAAAGTTATGCCTAACTTCAGTTTTGTCAGCATATATTTTGTTATTTAGTTTATTTATTTATTTCTCTGATATTTTTGTAGGTTTACATTCCACTTTTCCTCCAGGAGCTCAGTAAGGCATATTTAACACATTTTCCCAGAAATGAATTCTAAATTTACATAGTGATTTGTCATCCTGTACCAAAAATTATGTTTCTAAGCTTTATTGGATAGAGAACACTTTCAAAGAGACATTCTAACTCCCTGAAATCCACAAACTCTCTGAAGCATGTCTTCATTAATACTTTTTTTTTTCAGTGATCATTCCTTCCCTTCAAGCAACCATCAATCCTTCCAATTGACCGACAGAAGAGTGTTAAATTTGGCATGTAGCATTGCCCTAGTTTCATGTTTATCAATGCTTTGCAGAATGGGACTACTCACCTCAGCCAACTTGCCAGAGCCAACTTGCCATGGGACAATTTGCCATGGCCATCTCGCCATGGGACAATTCAACAATTCAGTTATTTAATTATTTTATCAATTTAATTATTTAAAATAATTTTAAAATAATGTTATTTTTTGTCATTCACATTTTATTTTGTCCCTCTTTTGGCATCCTTGCTTTAACTATTCTATTTGACTATTTCTTCAGTATTAATGTAACTCTTATCCAAGTGAGTTGTTACAGACCCACTATGTTATGCTATTTTTTTTTAAAGGAAGAAGAAACAAAGGGGTCATTTAATTTAAAAAGCAAAATTAAGAAACACTTAATTTTTAAAAAGCATGGTAAAATATCAAAGTGGCTGCCTTCACAGCAGGGAAGTGGGAGGAAATTAAGAATTCTTGTTGATGAGAAGCAGCCCATATTTCAGTTCCAGCATTAATATTGAAAAACTATGTTCTAATGCTGGAAGTTAAGCTAATTGACTGCAGAGAATACTAATGCTGTGAAAATATACAAGCTATGGCAGCACCAATGTTAGATCAGCAAAAATGTCTCGTGGAGGAACCATGGGTTTTGGGAGGGGGGACTTTATATTAACAGATTTTTGACTAATTGCAGAATTGATTATGCTACTGGGCAGTAAAGCAATTGGTTCAAATGGCAAGTAACACTAATTAACATTTCCTCTCTCTTGGACACAATGATATCACACACATTCTCTTGCAATCCTCAGTTATCTGCTGCTGTCAGGATAGGATCTTATTGTAGTGTAATGGTAAAGCAAAATTCAAGAAACAGTCCAGTTGGCTTCTGTAAATGTAATGGAAAGCAGTATCATTTTGTCTTTAACCTCATACATCATTGTTGCAGGATCAGGGCACATGCTATGTTATTCCATCATGCATTTTAGTGGATACAGTTTATTATTTTGACACAGGAAAGCATAGCACTTGGCAAGTAATAAAAAAAGCAATGTGGATAAACTTGATATTGACAACATTCTTAGATATCATACAATACTTGTTTTTCTGTTGGAGACGATGGGGTCCTATTTCAAGAGGGAAGTATCACACAAAGTTGCAACACAGAATGTACCTCAGCATCATGCCAACCAAGTACTGCCTGTAACTATTTCGTTCCAAACCAGTTTTAGGTTGATTGAAAAAATATTTTTTAAGTCCCTGTATTTGATCAGTTGCATAGATTTGTTTGAAAGGAAAAAGAAGCTCTTTATTTCCAGAGGCTGTTGGAAATTTACCTTTTCCTCTGAAAGACCTTTTTAGTTGTGTGTCTGAATCCTGTTACTGCCAAGGACACATAATGTCAAGCAAAGTTCAAAGTACAAGTAACTGGTTTGTTTTCCTGAAGCTTTTGTTTGAATCAGATACATTTCTCCCTTATTGGCAGATAATTCAAGTTATTCACAAACAGATGGTGCTTGTATATATAAACAAGCAATATTGGAAGGCAGGAAGCTGCCGTATTCCAAATCAAACCATCTAGTAGAATACTGTATCATGACTTACAGAGGCTACTCAAGATTTTAAGCAGGGAATTTCCCAGCTTTATTTGGCAATGCCTGAAATTAAACCTCAAATCTTCTGCATCTAAAACATACAATACATAATTGATCTAGGACCTAGATTCTAGACTGTTTCCTTCCCCTTTTTTGAGAAAAAGTTGGTAGGGATTGTTTTTCATATTCTGATCATGCTTAGCAAGAATCAATTGAGCATCTCTTTAACTTTGGGATCGAGAAGACCATTACTCATTTAAATGCCAAGTAGTGAGTTTTAAGAGCAGTGGTGGGTTTCAAATAATTTCACCACCGGTTTGCCGAAAATGTGAGCACAGCTTCCGCCATGCGGCGAGGCTCGACCAAGCATCCTTTCGGGATCTGCTCCCCTCCATCTCTGCTCTCAGGAGCAGCGGCTGCTTCTCTCTGCACTCCTGAGAGAGCATCTTGTGCAAGTTAGCAGCTGTGAGCCGCCGCTTTCCTCTAAGTCTCATCCGGACAGCGCTACAGCACAGAGAAGCAGCAGCCATGTTGAATGCTGTTTCTCTCAGCCGCAGTGCTTTCCAGATGGGACTTAGAGGAAAGTGGTGGCT